TAATAGTAGTACTTAATTGACCAATGTAAATGCTACGACATTTTGCTCAATAGTTAGTTGAGGCATATATTAATATAAATTTATTTAAAGAAATGTATTAGTCAAGTAGTATTTGAGAAAGTATTTTTTATAATTATTATACAGTATATGAATAAGGATTTGTACAAAAATAACAAAAAATTCAAGTTATATCGCATCAGTGGTGCAAATATTTTGATGATTACGGTAGTTTCTCTTTTTATGCTTGCATGACTTTTAAAATATAACTTCATGAGGAACAGGAACTTTAAAATATTAGTCATCGCTAAATCTTCAAGAACTAAATTAATATTTATAAAATATCGATTTGACAATAAAGGTACAAACAATTTGAGCTTACATTTACTTACATATATTGATATATATTTGTCTTCAATGGAATTAAATCAAATCGCTATTGCAACATACGTTCTGATTTATTAATTTAATGGTATATTTGACACTTTTCTTAATTAAAAACGTAATACAAATTCCCAAATGGGATCGATTTTTTGTTTTTTAAGTATATAGAAGTAAATAATACAATATGGAAAAGGATATAGTTCATTCTAAATATTCATTATTCATTATAAAATAAATATTCGAGGGCTGAAATTTCTTTGTAATATGAGACTCTCACCTAAACAACATTTCACAATGAAAGAAAAACTTATAACTTAGAAAAAAAAGGTTTGAAAGACTTGAATGAAAATAATTATGATTTAGAGCAAAGCAAAAAGAAAAAAGAAAACCGACGACGAAATCAAATGCTACTCTCCTTTTATAAAATGAAATAGGTAGTAATGATTTAGATAATTAGCACGGCAGAGATACTATCCGAATTAGAAACCGACCGAAAGCAAGACATTCTAAACTTAAAACATTGTTTTAACGATAAAAATAAGAAATTATTAGATGTAAGATCTCGATTTAAATATTTTAAAAAGAATTAATGCGCAAGAAAACGATGTTAAAGCCAAGCAAGAAACTATTCAAAATCGACGAAGAAGTCCAAAGAGAGGAAGTAAATACCAAAACTCAAATTATTTATGATTTTAACTATTACTAATACAAATAAGAATTGCATATTAATTGTTTCGGGTGGATTGCAAAGATATCAAAAATCCACTTTCTTGTACTCAAATATCTAGTTTAGATACCTATGAAATTATATTGTCCCGTTAGGAAATAACATTCAATCACCCGCCTACAATATCAATTATTGCGTCAGATTTTAATGATGCTCCATCCACAATAATTATTCTGTTGAACATGGGGTCAAACGTCAGATACATAAAATTATTTTTTCAATGCAATAATTTATATATTATAAATCTTTGATTTTTAAACAAAATTAAGTTTTTTACTCGTCAGTTAATCAATTAACTACAACACAACAACAAATAGTGGATCCAATCTTATTTCAAGATATCACAACAAATTTTCTGAGAATGCGTGGAAGAGCACAATATGCAGCTTCTGTTGTAATTAACCAACCACTGAAATAATAACGCTGCAAAATATTCTCATTCGCAAATACGTAGGAATTATGTTGGCATTCTATCTATACGATGACATACGTTATCAAAACTCGATAACTATTTACCCACAAAACAATATTACTAACTATTTCCAAATCCATATGCCCATTCTATCCATCAAATGACGATTTGGTTTTCCTAAGCCAACTAGATCAACTAGATGATTTGGGATCAATCCGTTCTTATTACATTACGATCAATCATAATCTATAACAATCATTAGAGAATTTACGTTAAAAATAATTTTAAGTGGTACTTTTTAATTTTGTTTCTTACATATTTTTTTTAATATATGTAATATATTTAGCTTGGTTAAAGTATTAGCATTATATTAATAAAAATTAAACATGTAGAGGAATTTTTAGATAATATATAATAGGAGATACTTAAGAAAGATGTAATATAGTATATAAATTATAACTAATGCTGTGTCACATTAATCAAGGTAACGAGGGGATAATGTGCGGTTTTTGTTTGACGTAAAGTACTTTGATTTAATTACAGCTAACAGCATTGTACAACAACGCTCATGAACGAGTTGCTCCTTATTTTCTGAATACTTCTTGGAGTTAACTGCCATTAAAAATTTCACTGCAATATATTACTTTATAAATAAAAGATCTATTTAGTTGAGTTCCGAATTAGCTCAAGGAAGTTCTAAAAAGAATGAGTTACCAGATTTGTCACCGAAGTTTAATTTTAATATTGTTATTAATGCAAGATAAAAGATTTCGGTTATTAGTACCAGATAAATGCTTCGATTTTTGCCATAAGAAATAATTAGGGAATTAGAGTGACAAGGTGGTTTAAAAGGTACCTTACTGAAGTCTTTACATTTCCTGATTTATTAACTTGTCTTAAATATTGGATATTTTGTGTTGCAGAAGCTTGAGTTTGAGTTTGAGCTATAGTAGATATAGGCGAATCGTTATATACCACAACTTTTATTAAATTGTTCAACAGCTCGGCCACTTTGCAGTATTTATTTCAGTATTTGAAACTAGCGATGTTTTGTTGTAATTCATTGATTTCCTCAAGTGTTGGAAGTAGAGGGGTTTTGTAAAGTTCATAATTCTTTATAAAGTTTTTGAAAAAAGTGAAATCATGTTTGAATAATGCTATTAAATAATGTGGCCGTAGGCCACATGATAAAGTAGTAATCCTAGTATCATCCACAACATGACCGATAAAAATTACTTATTCATTATATTATTTTTTATATTTTACTGGCGTGGCAAGAAATTAATTCTTTTTTTGTAACTACAAATATGAATACTCAAATTGTCCATATTAGCTGTATCGAAGCATAATAAAGATATTCAACCTTAATACTCTGCTATCTGGTCTAACGATTCTCAATGGCAAACGTGAATGTTATATCTAGAGATTGAAATTCGTTTGCTGTGACATAAATTTTAAATCAATATAAAACAAATTCTAAATTAAGACCACGTTACCTGATTGAGGCAAGAATTTTAATGGTATAAACTGTCTTCATTCGATTAACTGAACAAGGCTTGCCAAATTCAAACAGTTGTAGATAATTTTACATTAAGAAAATTAATGAACGAAATTTTCGTTAAATGGAAATGCCCCCAATTTTATCTAATTTTTATATGTACACATTTGATTTCTATACACTGATTAACTCAACTGATTCACTGGTCTCTAAATTTAAATAATCCATACCAGAATTCAAGGTTTGAATAGTAATTGCCAAGTCGTAATTAAATCAAACATTTGCTAAATAGTATATATTTATTGCTTGCTTAACAAAAAATTTTATGTTTACGAAAATATTCTTCAAACCTAGTTAGATCTCTCTTACTTCAAACAGCGAATGGTTCGGGCTGACGAATTTTTCAAAAAATACTTGCATTAAGTTCTTTCTTCGGATTGCGCGGTATCAGGTAAGTTAGTATTATTGATTTTATTTATTTTTTTTGTTTCACGATTGAATATTTATTTTCTTTAATTTTATTTTTTTTATTTATTAGTTTTTGGTGGTTGTTTTTTTTATATCCTTTTTTTGCATTTATTTTTTTTATGATTATTAATTATTCTAAATATTATTTGTTAACATTTTTTTTTTATTTTAAACAATTTCTTAAGCGATTTCTAATACCTTGATTGGCAAGGTTATATTATTTTTTATAATTTTTATTTAAATTCCTTTTTTTTTTATCCAGGCTGCAGCTTAAATATTTAAAATTTAAATAATTTTTAACAATTACTATATATAAAAAATACTTTATCAAAAAAAAAAAATTTTACTTCAAAATTAATTTAATGCAAAAGTTACTAATTAATTTAAAAAACATTTTTAAATTACTTAAAAAAATTATACATTAATTATATATTTTTTTTGATAAATAATTTTAATGAAAATCCTTAAAAGGATAACAACATTTTTTAATTATTTTATTGTTTTATTAGCAATACAGTATTATAATTTTATATTTTGAACTAAGCTTGTTACGAATTATTTATTTAGGTAAAAGCATTTTGATGTACAGGCGTTAGTAGTACCAGATAGATGTATCATTTATCTTGAATTTAACATGATTTTAAAAAATTCGTACCGAAAATTGCAAATAAAAATGTCATAAACAATTAAAGTTTATCAGGTAGTGTAACAAGAATTGTTGGATTTGGTTAAAAAGTCATGTGAAAAATCAAATTTTTCTACGTAGACTCTACTCTTAAGGAACCATCATCACATTTTTCGCAAATGAGCAATTTCAATTATAGAAAAGAGAATAAAAGAAGAGTAATAGCAGTTGAAGATGCTATTCACCATCTCATACGGTGTTAGACGCAAATCATACTGTGCCCCAGACGTCTAAGTTATTTTTCATAACATGTAAAGTATTACATAATATATTTTTCATTACTTATCTTATTTTACTGTAATAATTTTTAACCGTAATCATTGTAATGATTCTCTTATAAAAAACGGATCGAATGTTAACGCTATGAAAATATTTTGCGTTATACATACAAAGTTTATAAATGCTTTTACTGTGTATGCTTTTAAATTATTGTTTATTGTTATTATAAAAGATAAATATGAATACAACCATTCTTCAGAAATTATATTGGCTAATTATTATCAAATGGAAATTAATGTAACAAATTCAATTTTTCAAAATTTCAAAATTTAATTTTTAAAAATCTTGCCACTTTTGGTCTGTAAACTACATAAATTAAGGTTGCTGAACATAGTAAATCATATGATCCGTAACATGATTTTAATAGCAACGTCCCATATGTTTTTTTAACATTACGCCAATAAATTATACAATTTATAGATAATTTTGTATTGCAACGGTAAATGCTGTTTAATTTTTATTATTTCCAATCTATAAATCATGATTCGTCACTAACTATTAAAGACGCTATCGTTAATAATTTACAAAAAAAAATGAAAATTAATCATAATCATCTGGGAAGCCATCTGGACTGAAACCGTAAAGAAGCCTCATTATTGGGTTGGCTATTTTTTCGAGTGATCCTTACTCGCCTCTTGGTTTTTTCAAGCCATATAATAGATTTCTGAATTGCAACTTTAAGTTTATTAATAGGAAAGTTTTCGTCCTATCGAATAGAGATGGTTTGGTTTTAAACATCTGATATATCATAATTTAAATATTAAACAAAACTTACATCAATTGTGTTACGTAATTTAAATGCATAACTTTCTAATTCATTTCGTGCAAGTATTCTTTGTTCACCTTTCTCATCATCTTCACGATATTTCTCGCTTTCGGCAACTATTATTACACAGATTTTTGTTAGTAAATGGTTAATGCATAATTATTTGGTTATAAAATTTCGGAATTTTGATTACATGCCCATACGTTCGATTTCTTCCTTTGACAATCCACCTTTACCATTTGTGATTAACTTATTCGATCGTCCAGTAGATTTATCAATGGCAAATACCTACAATTAATCAAAGTTAATACAATAAATACTATAAACATGTCAATAATAATGATAATTAAATATTAATACATACCGTTTCCATCAATATCAAATGTGACTTCGATCTGTGGAACACCTTTTGGTGCTGGCTGAATTCCAGTTAATTCGAATTTTCCAAGCAAGGTGTTATCTTTAGTATGGAAACGTTCACCTTCATAAACTTGAATCATTAATCCATGTTGATTATCAGAACTTGTTGAAATAATATCGTGTTTCTTAGTAGGTACTGTACTATTACGCTTAATAATCGGTGTCATGGCTCCGCCGTCAGTTTCAATACCAAGAGATAAAGGAGTGATATCGAGATAAAGTACATCTTGAGTTATTTCAGAAGTATCACCAGATAAAATAGCAGCCCAAATAGCGGCACCATAGGCCGCGGCTTCATCAGGATTTACGGATATGTTTGGTATTTTTACCATCGAAGTACTCAGATACCATCTTTTGAATCTTGGGAATACGTGTTGAACCACCGACCAGGACTATTTCATGAATTTGACTTTTGTCGATTTTAGAATTTCAAAGTACTTTTTCAATAGGTTCTATTGTAGCTCGAAATAAGTCTTGATTCAATTCTTCAAACCTGGTACGTGTTAAGGAAGTATAGAAATCGATACCATCGAAAAGGGAATCTAACTCTAAGTAAGCATTTAATGATGATGAAAGTTTACGCTTTGCACGTTCACAGGCTGTCCTTAATCGACGACAAGCACGAGCATTCGTTGAAAGATCTTTCTTAAATTTTCGTTTGAATTCTTGTATAAAATGATTTACAAGGCGATTATCGAAATTTTCACCGCCAAGAAATGTGTCTCATGCAACGGCTTTTATTTCAAAAATTTCTTCATCGATATTTAGAAGGAATACTTCAAAAGAGCCACCACCTAAATCATAGATAAGAACGTTTCGTTCTCCACGAGCTTTCTTATCCAAGCCATAAGCAATAGCTGCCGCAGTTGTTTCATTCATTATACGAAGTACATTTAAACCGGCGATCATACCGGCATCTATTATAGCTTGGCGTTGAGAGACATTAAAGCAAGCTGATGTTGTAATTACGGCATTTCTAACTTGTGTACCAAGATAAGCTTCTGCAGTTTCCTTCATCTTTACCAAGATCATGGAAGAAATTTCTTCGGGTGTTAAATCCTTCTTTTCGTATTTGTATTCTACTTGAATACTGTATATGGCCTTTCATTCTTATCAATAACTTTAAATGGCCAGTGCTAAAAAATAAATAAAAATAAAAATAAAAAATGAGAATTATAAATGCATTGTAAGATCGTATCATATAATATTTACCTTCATATCAGATTGAACTTCCTGGTCACTAAACTTGCGGCCAATAAGACGTTTAACGTTATATACAGTATTATAAGGGTTCATATTAACTAGATTTTTGGCAGCATCACCCATTAGACGTTCCGTTTCGGTGAATGCGACATATGATGGCGTCGTACGATAATTTCAACTCTTTCATTTTTCCAAACTCCGACACAAGAATATGATGTTCCCAAATCGATTCCAACTAAGTTTGTAAGAATTAAAAATTTAAACTTGCAAATATTCGTATTCAAAGTATTAAAAATTTCTTTATTTAAGCATATATACCAGCTATTTCTTCATACATTATTATAAAATTATAGTATTACGTCAAAATATATAAGGTTTTATTAATTAGATAAAAAAATAAGTTCTTCATTCAAATATATCCGAATGTAATAATCAACTAGCATTATTGAAAAAAGTGATAATATGCCAAATATAAGCAAATTTACATATGACCTGTTTTTGCTGTGCCATTAAACGCCCAAAATAAAACACATGATGCAAATCGGAAGAACACGGAGTTTTCGACAGGCATCATATGACAAGCTCAGATACTCATCATTATCCGTCAGTCACTTTAAAAAGATCATCTAATTACACGAAAACTTAAAAGTGGTTACGCTATACAATTATGCATGTAAATATTTAATGAAATGAATTTTACAAGTTTCCAAATTAATATATAACCACTTGAATGATTTTTTCTTTAATCTTTCTCTTTTTTTCAATTATAAAATAAAAAAAAAATGTCCATTGAATGTTGCTAATGATTATGAAAGGTTATTTGAAAATGACACAAGTTATCATGTCATTATTTTTGCCGATGAAAATTAAAACATTAAAGAATTACGTGCGCATTCAATTATTTATGTTTTAGGTCTCAATATTTTTTTTGATGAATTAACTATAACGTCGTTAAATAAATTAATGAAAATCAACAACTTAATACTCTAAACACATTTATTAAGTAAAAAAAGACGGCAATTGATTAGGAGCCGTGGTATATCCCTTCGGGTGACCGATATTTTTACCCCTACCAATAACTATTACTGCAATCAATGATGACCTCCGATAAATATCCCGAATATCGTATTTCATAATAACGCGTGAAATCACTTTTTATATGATGAAAATTTGTATAAACAAATATATATTTGAGGTACCAATTTTTATTTTCTTGTCTCTTTGTTTTTTATAATAATTTTTTACAAAAAAGCAATGTCTAATACAAATGTTTGTGAAATAAATTAATAGTCTCGCTTTTACTGGCGAGGAATAGAATACCATATGCAATTACTTTTATGAAAATTCTAATTAAATAGATAAAGCTTTAAGTTTTATTGATACTTGCCAAACGCTTGGGAAGATTTTCTTGAAGACCGGTATGTTTTAAGAAGATAACGTGAACAACTTTTGAATATTCGATGCTCATTAACTAACTTTGCCATTTTTGGTCTCCTTATCACTTAGATAACATCGAGGTAAACCCTTGCGTCGTATTAATTGGACAACATGAAACTGTCACGGGACCTTTGCACTTTTTCGTTAGTAAACTAAAAAATTTTCATCTTTTGCCTCTTTGATTGATTCTTCCGTCCCTATCATGCATTTATGCACAATTAGAGCAAGAACCGTCTAGAAAGAGAAAATGCGATTATTCCATTGAACTCGATTATCCTATGGTATCTACCAAAAGACCAATTTTCCATTACAGTGGCACGCTTCCCATATACGAACGACAAATCTTTAACACACCAGCATCAATTAATTGCTTGTTCGAAGTAAAAATCCGGGTTCATGAAGCTCTTGGTTTGATGGTAATTAAATATAACAAGAATTGGGGTGGCTATGAGTTCAAAGTTGTAAAAATTTCTGCACCCGAATTTGAGGATCCAGTAAGACGGGCCGAAAAATATGCCGAATACTTTGATATGAGAATCTAATTTCTACTATGATGGTGGTTCTTCTCCAACAGCGATTAATTTTTCAGAAGATGTCACCTATATTTTCATTCATTTGTAGAAATTTTATTACTGTATGCTTCGCGCATAAATGATATAAATACTGTATAACGATCTTTCTTTATAATAATGTATGTGGGATAAAACATTTCATATTCCAATATATATATATATACTGTGTATGGTCTAACAAGAAAGGTCAAAATAACTTTTCACCATCAAGCATTGTAATGATAAATTTCTAAGCTTCGTTTCGTGTAAACAACAATAATTTACCGTGCCACACGAGAAAAAAAATTTTAGAATTTTTGTACAACTTATATATCTATGTAAGTAAATCGGGTTTCATATGGGTTGATTGCTAGGAAAATCAGGTTCCGGGAATTTTTTAGCAAAATTGAGATCTTTATTGAATTTTAGTTTTTGATGTTACTAACCTAATACTTGGAGATTATCGCATTTGAAGTTTACAGTTTGATCCATATGTTGCAATAAAAGTCCAGTGGTACAAATGAGAATGTTCATCTTATTTATACTTTCCTTTAATTTGATTAAACAAGGTTATTTAAAATGTGTTACCAATTCTCGTGTTTGTGCTATAACTAAAGCACCCAATTCATCCAATTTTGACCAAATTTTTCTATATAACAATAAATTTTTATTGTTTAAATTTGTCATATACAAGTGTAATTGTATAAATCTCGGATAAAGAATTGTGAATAAAAGACTTTACTTAACTGAATAAGAAAAGCTAATGTCTTGTTCCCAAAAGGTCACGACCGCGTAAAGCAATTGGTATGGCTTTACGTTGAATTTTCGTCATTTCAACGTCTTATTCGCAATAGAAAAAAAAGAAAAGCTCATCCAGAACCAGTAATTGTGGGATAAATTTGTTTATTTTTCTGATGTGCTGTATTATTAAATTTAATTATTTCTTACAAATTATATTAGAAGCGTCCAAACAAAAATGGACAACTTCTGTGACAATTGACCGTTTTATTCACAAGTTTCTTAAACTTAGGAGTACCAAGAGTATCATAAACAAAACACTTGCCAAGAATACTCTTTTTTGGTAAGATCGCCTTGCGGAAATTAAGTCGCAAATTTAGAGTATTCTTAATCCTAATCCTAATCCTAATCCTAACCGATTAGGTAATCCATATCGATTAGGATATCACGTTTGAATTTCATTTTTGTTGATGAGAAACTCAAAGTTTATCAAAGAAAATGATTCTTGAAAACCTTTCGTATTGCTAGACGAATTTCTAAGTCATCAACAAAATTTGATACCTCTCTCAAAGAAGCAGGAATTGTCACTTTTCCTATATTAATCAATGATACAAGATCCATCATTTAGAATTCAACTGTATAATCTATAAAGTAAATATTATCAAGTTACACGCGAAAAAATGAAAAAAAAAGCAACTACTATAATGTTCCTTACCTACGCATTGGAACCCTAATTCTATAGCTGAATCATGACAGTCTTTCATAAAGACTCCAACACGGATCAGATCGTTACAATTCTTTAAAACATTGTTCTTTTATGAGGTGGACTAGCCTCAACCATAAATATGACACCGCTCAATTGTAGCTGGTGGACTATTGAGACTGTAAAATCGGGTTGTTTGCTTCTGATCCCTGTGGCTTTCTTGTTTTGCTTTCGTTAATTTTTGTATTTGGTCATTCCACAATGTGTTTGTCTGGATCATGTTACATTCCTCTCATAATGTGGTCAAGATAATTTGTAATCAAAGTTGTTTCGCTCGGCTCATTTTTAATCTTTGTGGTTGGCAATTTCTTAAGGCATTCCAAGAACATGCAACCCAAGTTCACATTCAAAATTTGATCATTTGTAAGTTCCGTTAACAGCAATTTTATGGCACTGCAACGCGATTCTTTTATTGCCTTTTTGATCACCTTCCTCAACTTTAATTCACATTCCGTATTTAATTCTATTTGTTGAGGAGGATTTGCTTGTTGGTAGATATTATCAAGCAAAGAAGAACTGAATATGTCGATCATCGTTTTTGAATGAGAGCCAGGATTAAAGAAGGAAAATCGAAGGTAATGACAATATCTCGTGCACGTTAGATTCAACAAACAGACCGGTTTTTGCGATCTTAACAGATTCATTTTGTTATTGACGGAATAATCGAGAAACATTGATCTCTCTTATTTTAAGATCATCGATAGAGTCTTCATCCTTGAAGGATGATTCATCTGGAATATCATTAATTATTATCGGGTAATCCTCCACCTCTTCTTCAATAAATGGATTATCCATCGGCAATTTATGTGATTTTGGACTACTTGGCGTGGGAGAAATGAACTCATCTTCTTGTTCTTGTCTTTTTGAAATTCTATCTATCCTCATTATAACCCTTGGTCTCTTTCTGCTTGCTACCGTTATCTCTACCTGAATCATCCTAGATTATATCAGATAAATTTGATGATGAATTAGATGTGTCACTTTTACCTAATAAAGTTAATAATGTAATTCATACCAGCCCTTTATTAACATTTTTCATAATGTTTTCAACGCCCTCTTCAGTCCCATTTACCATAAAACGAGCTATTTTTACCTGTAATTCAGAACAATCATTAGCCAAATCATTTTAACAATATTAAAGTAAGAAAAATTATTGACCTGGTCCAGTTGTAATCGTTTTTTTTCTTTGGAATGCTCTATATCCAAGATTCTCCTTCAACTTCATTCCAGAATTTATCGATATCCACGTTCTTTTTTCGATGGTTCTACAGGATTTATAATATGTTACTATCTTGTCCTCACCGGAAAGCAGACAACCCACTGGCAAAGTAGACCACAACGGGATCTAATGAACACCATAAAGTGAGCGGAGCGTACGCGCTCACCGTAGTCGTGGAAGTATGTTCCCTTTCCCGGGACTTAACAGGGGCCTCCATACTGTTTGCCAGTGATCAAAATGAAATGAAAATAAGATAATCGCCTCGAAAACATCAAGCAAATATTGACTTTTTTGTTTCCTTAACTCCGATTCATTTTTCACCAGATGTTCCAAGGCAACTTGAAGTCTTTTTTGCTTCTTGGCGAAATATATTTGTGAAACCATCCCGGCTTTTATTATACTGGTAATAATCGAGAAATTGGTATTTTTCCGGTAACGTTGTCTCAAAATATTCAAGAAATAACTCCATGGATCCAGAATTTACATGCTTGCTACTATGTTTGCTAAAAAAATAACTAGCAAATAACACTCTGAGTAGTTTATTCGTTAATTTTTGTGTCACTTATTGCATTTTAGGTATGCTTTTTTTTTTTTTTAATTTTTTAGCACCACCTCTGTTTAAAATACATTTTATAATAATATATATATACAGTATACAGTGGTGTGCAAAAAAAATGAACTTTTTTTCGAAAAATGATCAACTGGCGTAACTTACCCAATTTTGGTCAG